ACCTAAACCGTTTGCTTTACGATCATTTCCTTCATCACACTTGCTGACCCTTCTGTGATTCATGACGCCTCAAGAAGAAATTTATCCCATTTAACTGGACAGGGAGTTAAGTTTGGAGCTTTTGGTTGTGACTTCAGCCACACAAATGTAGTTGTGCTTGGAAGTTTGTTCAGGCTCATTGGAATTCTGATTCTGATACTGCATATTGATCCAAATACTCTCAATTATTAATGCATTTGAAGGGTGTGCAGATATGTGTCCATGCATTCACAGGTGCACATACACGCACAGGAGGTAATATTTTCCCAGATTAAAAGATTCACCCATCTGGAATCATTAAAAAAGGAAATAGACGTTCAAATTTTGTGGTAGCTTTGAAAACCTCAATATGCTGTAGATGGATAAACACCATAGATGGATTAAACACATACTAATTGATTAGTTTTTGCTGAAACTTCCAGTGAGTAACCAGTATCAATTTAACTGTGGAGAGACCAGCACCCCATCATAATACAGGTACATACTCACGCACACAGTCTCATGCAGTAACATGCATGCCTAGCTAAGAAAAAGAGAGTTGAACTAAGTATACGAAAAAGGGCTCAGCAGAATTTCTTCGTTAGTGGAAAGTACTGCAGTTCTCAAAACCCTGGGAACTTTTCAGACTACTAGTTGGAAGCAAGTCCAGCTCCGTATCTAACAAGGTCCATTTCTGTTCTGTACATTTGTTTATTTATTCTCCAGACAGAACAGAGAATAAAAAGCAGATACACATTAAACCAACAGGCATGGCCCTCTTTTGTTTAGGATTATCCATTGTTGAATCATTTTTCACTGCAGCCAAAGGGCCTGTTTGAACTTCCTGAATGTTCATCACACATAATTTGGAGTATTTAACATTACGTCAAGAAAATTGCCCACTGCTTCCCACCGTGGAAACCTATGGGAGCTCTATATCTTTAAACTAATTTCACTTAAAGTACTCCATTGAATAGCATGACTGTCTCACTATAATCAGTGCAGCAGTAATGTAATTAATCTCAAAATTGCTGTGGGGAGTACAAGGCATCTCAGTTGCTTGTCGTAACAATCTAAATTAGCGTATTACTGAAAGATGTTGGGGAGGAACAGTTCATTTTAGGTAAATGCTGTCAGGTTATCCATCCTTTCTATTTCTAAAGCTGAAATTAAAACTATCATCATAGTTCTCTTTTTGAAATCCAAATGAGTATGTTTTGAGGTGGCAAAGTATAATTAAATTTGATGTGGTATTCCTACAGATGCAGTTTTGCATTTTAAAATGATTAAATTTGTTTGAATAAAAATCCATGTTTTATTTAGAAAAGAAAAACTGGTTTGGCTCAAAGCATGCCATTGTATCAGAACAATTCTCTTTTGTCACTGAAACTCCGCAGACGGCTGCTTCTTCTTTTGCTAAGCAAAAAATTATTCTTGCTGGTTTACTTTTTGTAGAGCTATCTTTAACCGTTCTATTTAGAGATATTTTGACTAGGCATGCAACTCCTCTAATGTGCAGCTTATCTCAGAGGTGAACCTTAAAGAATTACATTTAAAAGAGATTCCACTAATAACAGTGATTAATGACAATAAATTTCAGAGAATAGCTGATGCAGATGCCTGGGGTCCCATACTTGGTATTTTTAACCCCGTCCCCTCTTCTCAAGAACTAAATCAAACATCAAATGAAATTAAAAGCCCTAATATAAAGGTTATGAAAGGTGACTAAAGTAGTAAATTGAGGCCAGTTTGGCCTGTTATTCTCTATAGTGCCACAGCACAAGAATAGGAAGTGTTTTCAGTTTGCTACTACTCTGAAAAAAATCACTAGAGTAAAGTTTTATCTTTTAAGATCTAAAGATTAATAATTCAAGGGCAGATAAGGGAAGACAGTAATACTCTTGTGGGGCAAAGAGTTGAAAGTGCTTCTCCCGCTCAATGAATATACTCCCCAGTGTTAAAATCACGACAGCACATTTGCCAACCATCTGAAAGAAAGTCAGATACTTCATTTAGATGTTGTATTTTTTCAGGGATGATCCAAAGCAGAACACTGAACAATCCAGAGAGATTATCACCTAATCTGCTCATTTAAAATATATGTAAGAAATCAAAATGTAAGTAAAACAAGCACTGAATAATTAAAGAAATGCATAACAGTATGAGCCTGATTTTAATTTGCATATTTTTTCCCTTAATCGTGCCTAATTAAGACATCAGTTTAAAAAAAAAAAAAATCCAACAGAACTCTGAGATTTTCCGCACTGAATTAACGTTAAGAACTTTTAATGGAGGTCTTAATTAGACTTTGTTATTCATGGAAATTTTACACAAATTAAAATCAGGTCCTGCATGCAACATTCCCAGCTGAGTCACAGCAAAAATGCTACATGGGACTGAAAGACTTTTAATCCATACGCAGATACCAATTTGTATTCTAAAGCAAACATACTCCGTTTTCACTTTTTGGTTTAATTTGCATTAATATTGTAACCAACAAAAACCACATAGTTAGGATTTCTCCCCTCACAGTAAATATTTATTTTACGGACACACACCCTTTTTTAAAAACACATAGACAGTCATGCAGCTGGACCAGAGCATTAGCCCATGGGTACAATAGCCACAGTCACCTTCTGAACAGCCCTGAGGGGTCATATCTGTTATTCAACACAGAAAGTTTGATTCAGACTCAAGTTCTATTGCTGTTGTGTCTGAAACGCAAGCTGAAAGGCTTGTAATTATTGATAAAAAACAAAACAAAACAAAGCCCAAAAGAAAATGCTGTCACAGAAATTCCTTCAACCTTGATAAGACAGTCCTTCCAAAGGAACCTAACTCTCAGGAGCAGGAAAACCTGACCGTTGTCACTTCAGTTCACATTCCGAAGGCTCTTCCAAAAAACACACTAAAGCACAAGCTGCAGGACTCCACAGGAGCCTTTTAGACAAGACATCAAAAATAACTAACAGCCTGAGCAGCAAAGGTTACATGACACCGACACTGGAAATATTCCAAGTATTGACAGACCAAGTCCCAACTGCAGTTTATCCTGTAGTGCAGATCACGTGCTAACACTACGTGCTGATGCGACCATGGAAAGCAGTTTTGCACGCAGTCCTTCACAGATCACTCCGCTAATGAAAACTATGTTAATTTCCCATATCAGACACAAGTCTGAATTGGTAATTCCTCTGTTAATGCCTGTTCTCTACCAAAGGAATCAAAAATGATCTTGTGGGGTCTGTGCTGTGCTCACTACAGCAATGCATCTGTGCAAAGAAGTGTCAGGTGCCTATGAAACAGGGCAAGCATTACCTTAACAGCGTTTATTTTCACTGTCAGTCTATAAATATACCTGTACATCCATGCACATGTGTGTGCGTACGTAGCAGCACGCTTGCTCCGCCCTGCTGCAGGCGTTTCGTCTCAGGTCGCCTTGCTTGGCCACAGAGACAGCCTGCAGGGACCAGGACCTGCCCTGTTAGTGCTGCCGGGTCGCTTAGTACAAGTGTTTTTGTTACACTTGACAGAGGAACAGCAAGGAGGTATGGCTAACCTGCGCCCTTTATTCAACAATGCTGAACAGGAAAAGTTGCTGGATCGCTTATATGCTAGCTCCCAGCTGGCTCTGAGACCAGAACAAGTGGGATACTGGTCTAGATGCCCTGGAAGACACACATTCCTCACAGGATTTCCTTTGGGAGGTTCCTATTGTTTTACAGTACCTGGCTAGTCTGCGGGCTGGACGGGTCGTAAGAAGGTACATAATTCTTCAGAGTATCCTGAGGATTCAGGTGGGGAGGATATCTGATCGTTGGATGAGAGAAGTAGCTAGATGGGGCAGGAGGGAGAATAGCTTGTGCTGGAAATGGCAATGGTGAAGGTGGAGGTGGAGTTCTAGTTGAGATGACTGGAGAAGATAAAATAAAATTAAAATTACTTCGCATCTTGTTTCTTCTAAAATTCTTCACCTCTGTGTTACAGCAAGAAAAATA